TGGTGCTGCTTGATGACCATGTAGCAGTGCTGCTGGTGGACGTTGTGCTGCTAGATGTTGAAGTAGAGGATGTTGTCGTGGAGCTGGTGGACGTGCTTGATGAGGACGTGCTACTACTGCTGGTGGAGCTCGTTGATGTTGTCCCGGAAGTGGTTCTGCTTGTGGTGCTTGAAGAAGAACTGCTGCTTGTGGATGAGGAGCTGCTGCTACTACTGGAGCTGGTTGAACTTGAAGTGGTGGTGGATGAAGACGATGTTTTGGAGCTGCTGCTCGTGCTGCTTGATGTAGAGCTACTGCTCGTTGAGCTTGTGGAAGTGGATGTGGATGAAGAAGTGGAGCTTTCGGTTGTGGTGCTGCTACTTGTTCTGCTGGAAGACGTAGATGTTGACCAGCTGGTGCTTGATGATGTCGAAGAACTACTGGAAGTCGTCCTGCTGGACGTTGTGGATTTCATGGTGCTGCTTGATGTCCATGTAGTGGTCCTGCTGGTGGACCTTGTGCTGCTAGATGTTGAAGTAGAGGATGTTGTCGTGGAGCTGGTGGACGTGCTTGATGAGGACGTGCTACTGCTGCTGGTGGAACTTGTGGACGTTGATGTTGATGAGCTTCTGCTGGTAGACATTGTTGTTGATGATGTCGTGCTTGTGGAAGTGACTGTGGTGGTGAAGGATGTTGTAGTGCTTGAAGTAGTTGTAGTACAGGCATCGACATCGGGCAGGGACATGTTGATCTCACCACTGTCGGTCACACCTGCAATTACGAGAACCGTTCGATCGCCGATCTCGTAGTCTGAGGAAAGATTAACAGCATTTTCCAATGCCATCGGCAACTCCACAGCAGGGGTTGGGTTTGTACCTGTCGAGTCCTCTGAAAAATAAACTCTCCACGACTTCAGATATGTGAAATCGGCATCAGTCGGAAGATTGAAAGAGATTTCTCCACCAAGGAAGCCACAGCGAGGGTCCGTATCCACAAATGTCACATTCTGCTGTTGAAACGGAAGGGTGGACACTGAGCTACCGCGGTCGTGAATCGGAATGATGGCGGAGGGAGCCAGTTCAGAGACTTCTTGCCAGTCTCCATTGATGATTGTGTAAACTTGCAGATATCGCGGCTGCGCAAACTCTACGGTCATGCCGTTGAAGACTGGAATTGTTGCACTGCGTGGAGTATCCGTCAAAGTGTAGTTGGTGTAGGTGTAAGACAAGAAACCACCAAGTCCAGGATGCTCAAGTTCCCGGAAGGTTGTTAGGTCAGGCACTCCTACAATCCCACCATTTGCATCGACTGTAATCAAAAAGCGATAGCCATCGACATCCGTCAAATCCGATGGAGGCGTCCAGCTAATTGGTCCTGCCAGTGTTCCAAAAGCATCGTTGGTGTCTTGGAAAACCACATCAGTGACGCCGCGGTACATGGCATCTGCGAGCATCACTGAGAACTTTAGCAGCCATTGCTGCAAAGCCATGCCATCTTCAGATTCTTTAGTCTCTTCCAGGACAGCATGTGCCAAACATCGCCATGGCAGAGCACGCTGAGTTTCTCGAGTCTCGATGCTGCAACGTTGTTTTGATTCTGTTGTCTTGAAATACACATCATAAACCTTGCAGTATGTTGCGGCGTGAGTGGCCGACAGATAGTAGCAAACAGCTGCGCTTCCTACAAAAAGGCGAAGGAAGAAGAACGACGCACAGTCCTACTGCGTTGCCAAAGTCCAGAGCTCTCGCGGCTTCTGACCGATCGAATCCGAGCTAAGGACTTGCGGGCTTTGCAATGGGAAAGAGCTCCGGATAGTCGTCCTCGATGAGCCAAATCAAGGCAGAGATACGCAGAGAGGCCTACAGGACCCAAGCAAGATCAGCCCATTCAACTTGGCAAAGAGCATATCCCAGCTTCCCACATACCGCAAGAACTTCAGTAGGCAAGTGGAACTTCTGCGAGAAAGCAGATCTGAAGGTGCTTGTCTCCCTGCAGTCTTGACTCTCACTACTTGCAAAATCATGAACTAGGCGGATCCTGTGCCGGAAGGCAGCTGCAGCCTGTCAGGGGCGGGTGTGTCTGAAGAATGACTGTGTGGTGATCCGCGGGCATCCTTAGACTGGAGGCACGCCTGCTCTCTCCAATTGCGAGGCCGCTGGACAGGCGGCAGGCTGCGAAGCAACCGATGCCTGGCCCACAAAACCTGATCAGATGCAAATCTTATTTCCTCGCACGCACCGGGACTCTTCCTTTAGCATACCTCTTATGACCTTCCCCACGTAGGGCCTTCGTGCATCAAGTCTTATGCGGCTGGAGCCTGTTCGCAGACCTACACTTTGCGCGCTGACCTTCTCAATGGCTGAACAAACGATCTGGCTATGTCTTGCCCCCGGCCATCCGCGCTTCCGCATTGCTGTTTGGACGCGAACCGCTTGCTACTTTGCTACTTGCAGCGTGAGATGAAAGTCCCAAGTTGTCAACGCATGCAACACTGTGCTTTGAGTCTCCCTGGTCTGCTCCAAGCACCTCGGAACCTAGTCAGACTGTATTCGTCCAATTGTGACTTGGGCACATATCCTCCTCTGCGAACGACATCTCTTGCAGAGAGGAGTTGTGCAGGGCATAGCGGGCCTCAGCGCGAATGAAAGGTACGCGCTCTGCTGCCGACGTCTCTCGGTGTAGATCTGGGTCTTTTCTTGTCAGCTGGCAATTGCACAATTGCATTGTAGACTCATCAACTGAGTTGTTCACGAAATGGGTGCTGGCCTGAGAGTCCAGAGGAGAACAAAAAACAGGCTCGAAGACGCGATCAACAGTCCTAGCAACGAGTAGTCTTGTGATAGCTGCAAACTAAGGTTGTGGCGATGATGGGGCTCGTCCCCAGCATCTGCGCATGCTCGCACAAGTGGCATTGCAAGGCCTGCGCATTATGAGGGAGCTTTGAGCCTGGCCTCACTCATAGTTGCCGCCATCCCTACACCATTCCAGAAAATCCGTTGCCCCCTGGCTTTTGCTTGGGACCAGCATGGACCAGCGCCAAGCGTAGTCGTTACATGGACTTTCTGCCCTTAGGACCGCAGACAGTGTCTGCTGACAACCGTAGGCCCCGGCTCACCTCCATTTCACTGGGCCCTCCCCAAAGATGTAGCGCGACAGCACAGTGGCTGACAGGGTGCAGGTGGCGTCGCAGCAAACGTGCCTCGATGCGGAAGAAGATCCCGTATGGCCACAGCATCTGCAATTCTTCCTGCTCGGCCGCACCAAGAAGCATGATGGCAGACCTCTATAGCCTGTGGACACAAACACACAAACTACTTTAGCACCTTTTCCACCAGGATGGCGTTCTGCAGCCTCCGCTCCTCGACTATGTATGACACCTGCCACGTGAGCTGGTAGGCAGGGCCATTCCTTTCTAGATGCTGCTGTTTGACAATTCTTCCCATCCATAAGCAAAGTACCAGACACTGGCTCAATGATTTCCCACTGGGCTCAGTTGAACACGGTTTGTTTCGAGGGGCCTGGTGGTCGAACAACATCACGCCAGACTCGCGCATGCCCGCGAAAACCCCCACGCCTGAGCAGCGATGTAGCACTTCAATCCCGACATTTCACAACAACAGCAGTACGGCTTCGACAAGTAAGACATGCAGTGTCAGAAGATAAGAATGACATATCTGCCGGCCTTGCCACGATTGACCGGTGAAGGGTGCTAAATCTGCTTATGAAATGGATTCGATGCCAAGAGTCCAAGCCAAATGATTTGGATAGTCCGAGTCAGGCAGCTCACCGTACGCCAAGGTAGGCGGATAGGCTTGTAAAGCTCCTGAAAGAAGCTGGTTGCGTGCCAAAAGAGCGATGCAGACTAGTACTATCCAGTATTTATGTGTAACTCACAAAGTGAATTCTTCCAGCATGCAGGTCCTTAGTTTCCCTGGCCGTGAAGGCACCCTTGATGGCTGATGCTCTGGGTGTTCTGTCCGATGCTGCTTCATCTGAGTCTGCAGCAGAGCAGGCTCTCTCTTCAAACGACACGGAAAAGCTGTCTGCAATTACGCGCGGCCAGAAATCGAAGCTGCACAACAATGGCAGTCCGCCGACCCCTTCAAAACAAGATGCTGATAAGAAGCTCACAAGCACGTGCAACTTGTCTTGCTACGTAACTCAAGATCTACTCCACAGCAACCTTAGCGAGCGTGCATTTACACAACAGGAAAACCGGGTCTTCCGGATCCTTTTGCAGCATGCTCATGACTTTCAACCGACGTCGGGAGCCCCTTTGATGATGCAATCAGGGACCGCTGCATGTGCAAAGTGGTGCCGATGAACGGATGAACAAATTCCAAACAAAACTGTTAGGATCTGTTAAGTAAACCGCGCTCCTGCCCATTCAAAGAACAAATGCTCATCCTTGGATGTGCAATATGAAGCTGCCTGATCTTCCTTTGCTTTTCCCATTGGGCTTCTCAGCGGCAAAGTGGGACATCCTGCATCTTACTGAAGCGCAACAAAGACTCTCCAAACTAAGATCCCTTATCTTCTGGAACTGGAGTACAGTACAGCAGGTCCAGCAGCGAGCACATTTGTTAGAGAGCAAATCCAGAAAGAGAAAAAAGACAAACAGCCTCAGTCTCAAAGAGTCTCGACCCAATTCGGCTGAGTCGAAGCTCCCGCCAACCGGCAGCAACGCTCGAAACATAACGTGTACATCTGCGAGAACTCTCTCCATGCATTTCATCCGCAATGACAGGCAGCGCATGCTCGATGCTGCATGATGCAGCGAAGCAGGGCACTGTCACAGATTGGCGGCAAGACTGTCCCCTGAAGAGGAGACAACCTCAAGCCTGGTGCGCATTTCAAGGCCATGAGGGGCCTGGACCCAGATTGGCAACGGTCAAAGTGCAACGTCGCACCGTCATAGCTGTGGTGAATGACAGTGACAATTAGGATCATGATCACCAGAATGACCAGCTACTGACATTGTTGGCAACATTATTGTGCAAGGTAGGTGGCATTGCCGTAAGAGGCTTGTCATGATAGATTCATACATCTCAGATTGCTTTATCAGAAAGTTGTGTGTGCAGGGTCTTGGACACAACCATTACCAAAAGGCAGTCACAGTCAAAGAGAGCAGTGAGGCAACGCAGTTGAGCTGGGATAGCAGACATGGCAGCTGGCGCAAGGCAAGATTCAGGCAGCTTGAGAGTCCCCCATCTCTTAAATTGTCCAAGTCATGTGATGATACCGCAAGCATACCAGGTTCCCTAGCAGGGCCTGCGGATGTCATCCATTAGGTGCTGAAAGTCTCGAACAGTTTCAGCAGCATCCTCCAGCGTCAGCGCTGGAGCAGATCCTCTGGCAACAGCTGTCGCAAGTTTAACTTAGCTGCAGCTGCGACCGATGGAATAGTCCACAGCCTGCGGGATCATACAGAAGCTTGTGGCTTCCATTCGCCACCGTGTTCTCCTGAGCTGCTGCAAGCTTTCATCGGCAACCTAAGAAGCCGCCAAGCCAGCAAGCAAACTTAAGATATGCAAGTAGCCTTGCTTTCACACCAGTTGTTCAAGAAAGGCTGCTGCAACTGAGTCTCGATATCCCAATAATAATCTGCAGGCAGGCCTGAGGAGTTGATGTAATGGAACGGCCCCAGCACGGTTCCTTTCAGTATGTCATCGACTGAAACATTGCTAAGAAATCTTGCGCAAGTCTGCATCGGCTCGATCAGCTAGACTTTTGGTAGCCCTGCTCCTGGAAACTCAAAAACCCTTGAAATCCAAAATGTGTGAACAATTGTGAGAAAGTGAGAATACAGGTACCGGAAGGTGTGAAAAGCTGTAAATGGAAAGATGACTGAAACCACAAAGTCTGACAAACGTGTGAACGAAGTGTGGCAGTGTGCAAAGAACTGAGAACTGAGCCAGAAAACTGTAAACAAAAAAAGCGACAAAAAGTGCGAAAATGTGTGAAGAAAATGTGGCTGAAACTCATGATGCAACCAGAGGAGAAAAGCAGCAGACGTTGAGTAAGTGAGTCACAAGGTGAGAATTCAGCAGAACATTACATCAGAAAAGCGCATAGAAGCAACAGAAAATGAAGAGTGTGGAGATGCGTGGGAAGAACTGAATTGAAATGAGAAGCTGAGAGTGAGAGGTGAGAATGAGGTGAGAGCAAGTGATGAATGATCAAGCCAGAAAATTTCAGGATCCAGTCAACATGGAGCAGCGGCCATCTCAATGTAACAGTAATGTAACGGTTACAACCTAGCTGCTAGACAGTGCTAGACAGAGTCCTTTGAAGTGGTCGAGCTGGCGCTCGACAGACGACAGCTCGGGCCACTCGCGCATTCGGGCGATCTGCACAGCTCTGTGGCGTATCCGTGAGGCTGTCTGAACATGTCTGAACTGGGTTCTGACTGCAGGCCTCAACTTCCATGTCACACTCGCTCAGGAGCTCACCCAAACCAGCCTTATCCCAAGCACGCGATACACTCAGCTGAATACAGACGGCGATCTGCCAGCACATAAGCGGGTGCAACTGGCTGGGCTCCCCCACCTGGTCCTGGAGATTAGGTATGTTGCTTTGTGTTGCAAAAGCCCTGTAGCAAATTTTTCAGTCGCAGGCTTGGACACTCATTGTGGACGACTTACACCGAGGCACCATTTCAAGACGAAGGTCATCGCTGAGCTTCTCCAGCTCCTTTCTCCTTTCAATGCCATCCACCATCATTTGCAAGTGACACGTTCATGAACATGCGAGCCTGTCGGGAAATATGTTGACATTTGAGGCCTACACTTGCATTCGTTGTTACGACAAGCCATATTACCAGGAATATGGACAACAGTCCTTCTGCAAGGAACGGCGAATGCTGCAAAAATCATGATGCCGCCAAATGACGAAAAGGAAGACGAAGGTCGGGAATAATGGCTTTGGCAAATAAAGCAGAGTAGTACTGACTCTTGTACCCTGGCCCTATGCAGAACCCAAAACACACTGTCGCCTTCATTTCAGGACTCGCGCGTCGGGGAGCTCTATTCGTCCATTCTCCAGGGTGCATAGACTGAAGTGTATCTTCAATGTCTGACCACCCTGGTAATTGGTGCGTGCGTTCTCAGCGGGCCATATGGGAATGAAGGGTCTAGGATTTCGCTGAGGATAGCCTCCGCCGGGTCTTCCATGCCGGCCATGTTTGGAATCAGATGTCTTAGTACTGCTTTATGTCTTAGATGGCAAAGTGGTCACCGCGGGCTGTTTCCCTCTATATTTGCTACCGCGATGCTAGCCAACCTACCGCATATTTCGCCTCATGATTTCTGGCAGACACTGCAACGCATCTGGACTTGTCACTCAATTGTCACTCTCTGGGACTAGAAAAGATTTGAGATCGGTCCTACAGGTGCGGAATTCCTCCTTTCGCCAAGAAATGCCCTCGACGCAAGCTACCCTGCCCTACAAGCCCAAGGCCTACTTTTTCGCATGCAAGCATCCTCAGCTCATACCATGTCATCTTTGGAGACCGTTACCATAGGCCCTGTGATCAAAGGAATACCTAGCGCCACGCTAGCGCTATCCTTGCGCCTACATGGGGGAGAGCCCGAAACTTGCACAAACGCATGGTGCCACCTTGTAGCGAAGACTATACCGGCAAGAGCGGAACCTCATATCGCACTTCTATCATATTTTACACACATGGTATTGGTATTTTGACGTCCGCCCATGTGGCAAAGGAGTTGCTGAAACCTCAGTCCTCAAGTCCCACTCACGAACCTCGAGCTCCGCCACTAATGCAGACAAGGAACTGGCGCAATGTGAGCCACGCTCCAGGAACTTCTTCCCAACGACGCATTGCTGCTTGAGCACGTTGCAGTGCGTCTTGAATAAGTTGCACCTTCCAGCAAAGATCGAAGTTTACGCTGACAAGTCTGGATTGTTGATAATTAAAAAATTAGTACTGTCTGGGTTCAAGCAGACTTGAGAGCAAGGGTACGGAAGCTGGAACGCTCCAAAGGAGTTCATCAAGGAGGAGGCCAAAGCGTTCCCTTGCAGGATCACCTATAGGTCCTGCCCCCAATCTTTACATGGCCTCCTACTTCTAGGAGGAGGGAGAGTTGGGAACCTCTGAATTTGCAATAAATGATTTTCCCCTCCCCCTTGCGCAACCCTTCAGGGTGACCTAGGCCCAGAGATTGATGAGTAATCAAGGAATGCAGGAAGATCTGCGCGCTGGCATCGCAACTTGCAGAAACTTGGAGATGTTTTTGTTGCACAAAATCGGACACCCTATTGCAGAGCTCTGGTATTCCCCAGCAACGCTCCACTGAACGGCCTTCTCCACAAGGACTACGGCGTTCACACCCGAGAACATGCTGCCCTTCTTTGTCATGGCAATTTCCGTGGGATCTTCTGCTTCTCCAAACACATCCTCAAAGCAACCAACGCTGTTCGGAACGTTTCGTGAATAAAACTCCTGCTGCAGAAGGAACAGCAAGCTCCGACCAGCTTTAGCTTGAGGCATCCACATTTGAGACAAACTCCAGACAATGGCTGTATCCTGTACGGTGAAACTACCGTATCAAAAACTAGGCCTTCTTACTGGGGGGCTTTGGGGTGACCAAGGGACCCGGTTAAGAAACTAAGTTTCTTAATGGGAGGGGTCCTGAGGTGACCAAAGGACCCGGTCAATACAAAAGAGTGGGGCTTAGTTTCTTCGTGGCGGGAGGTTCCGGGTTGCAGCAGTGACGGAATTCGCCTGAAGGCAGACAAAGGGTGGTGCAAACCGCCAACAGCAAAGCTTGGCCAAAAGACCCGGTTCAGAAGCCAAGGGGGGCGTAGTTTCTTAGCAGACGGGGTGCAGATTCTTAGAACGTGGTGCGCAATGTGTTTCCTGCTTGCATAATTTGCCCACGGGATCTGATTAAGAGACTTAGGGCGGCTTAGTTTCTTACTCCATGGGGATCAAACTTGCACGCTTTCACTGCCACTGTGATGACAACACTGGTACCGTTGCCATTTTGTTTCGGCTCTAGGAAAGAAAGTCACTAAGAAATTAAGGGTATGCTACCCTGGGAAGATGATTTTCATGTACAGGATTCGCACTGTAGGAATTTGCAATACCTACATCTCCATGCTCAGACCGCATAAAGGGCAAGCCAGGCGTCCATGAAAAGGACTGCTCGGAAGTGCCGTGGAATGCTGGACTCATCTGAAGCTGGCGATGCCACCCAATGCAATAGCTCAAACCAAGCAATCTCCTCGAACGCACTTCTTGCATTTTGGACATTCGAACAGATTCCGAGTACAATCGCAGGATATCATGGGCATACGGCTTGCACAAGTCTTCAAGACGTGCTTGGACGTGGAGTATGCGCAAGGGCTGGCTCTGACACAGCCGAGTTTCAAGCGGATAGATGGCCACTGAGACAGGATAAGCATTGTTCGAGGCGAGATCTCCATCTTCCCCTCTCTCTGCAAGCGTTAGCGACACGCATGCAGCGATTGCCGGTAAGAAGCCGATGAAGGACAGGTCCAATCCCCTTAACAAGGCATCAGGGCATGCTTAAAGCAAGTCCTATACTCCTTCACGCGTTCGGCATGTTCAGCATTGTTTAGCTTGCATCTCAGGCAGGCGGCCCGAGGCACGGCAAGCCATGAACGTCAAGAATCGTCATGTTGCAAGCAAGAGCCTGGCCAAAAGCCAAAAGCCAAAGTGAGATCAGCTATGTCAGTCTTGACTGGAGTGGCAACACAACTCCTGCCTGGAAGACCACCGTCAGCACAAAACCCACTACCGGGTCATACATCTGCACCATGCCTCAGCTGGATAGCACGGATTGGACTGATTTTAGTTTGCTCCGCCGTTGGAAACCTGACCCGGATCAGCACCAAAGCGCAGTGTGCCATCAACTCATTGCTCATCTCAGATGCAGAGTCCCAAGAGGTAGTAGTTGATCGACTGAAGCATGTGGCGCACCTGGCTTCAATGAAACAATAGACACACAAGCTGAGAATCTTGAAGTTTGTGATTGCTCTGCATTTGTAAAACACCTTTGAGGCAGGCACACCGAGGGACATGCAAACACGAGAGTATGCGTCGAAGCATTGCCACCTTAGAAACAGCAAATTGACACAATTGTGGTCGCCGATGGTGCGTCTGCCCTCGCCAGCGTGGCATTGTTCCATGCTATCCCCTGGATGGGCCTTGCTTGAAGCTGTCGAAAAAGCTGTACGTGGCGTCGCGTCCGGAACTCCACAGCATGGAGGAGCTCCTGCAGGGAGTGGTGGAGGCAGCATCCCTCGGTGCAAGTTCACTGGCAAATGTCCTCGTGGCCAAGCATGTTGTGCTCCCCGCCGTATGCAAACTCACCATCCCTCAGCCGAACAAAAGGAGCTAACTAAATCCACTGAGAATTCAGGCGAACGCATGACAAGTTCCATCGAGAAGGGCCAATTTTCGACTGAGAGTCTCCAATTCGTCCCCAGTCGGCTTTGGAGCGGGCACGGCATTCACTTCTCTAGGTTCCCCAGGAAGGGCATCACCCTGACATTCAGGCCACCATTGCAACAGCTGCAAAACAGATCTGAAGTTAAGCAAGCTACCTGCAGTGGCACCTCAACAGCCGCTCGATCTTTCCATGCGTTCCTTCCTGTCACGAGCTGCAGAGTGTTGCAGACTGTATAGCCTATGGCCGGCAGATGCCGGCAGGATGGGCTGATTTGTTGGCAAACCTGTCCTGATTGCAGGAACGGCACGCGAAGTAGCTGAGCTGCTTGTGACTCGCAATCGGACAAACGAGCATTCAGTACGTCCAGCTGCCCGCAGCCAGGAATCGGCAAGCGAACAAACCTGTCTGACGTAAAGCCAACCAGAACTCGCTTTACTTTGATTGTTCACTGACAGCGCCTGGTCAGCAATCGGGTTGCATAGCTGTGCGACTTGATGGAAGCATGCATGGAAAGCCAAATTGCCATCAGCAAATAGACAAGGGAGCAGGCCTGAACAAGCACATCTTGCGCCTGCCTGTTGACATCTTTTCACTCTAGAAGCGAACTGCACGCCTGCGACAGATAGTAAGCCACCTGAAGAAAAACTGGAGGAGCTTCCTCAAAGAAGCCCTCGGAATAGTAGATGCTGATCATGCGAATGAAAAGCGCACCTCAAACAGTGTTTCCTGCAGAAGTTAGCCGAAAAGACAGAAAATTCATCAAACAAAGAGACAGTTGAATGTGCACGCCAGGGAACCAACCATATGGTAGAGGTCCATTTTCCCTACTGTGAGCTCTACCAGGTCGCGAATGTCTTGTCGGAACAGGCGGAAACGCTCCACCTGCATCTTGAGTCGGAGTTCATCGCCTGATGGTGCGTGCTTGGAGAGGAAATCCAGTAGAACACAGCATGTTTTTCAAATCTCGAACGGTCCAAGTCCAAAGAGAGTCGAGAGTCGTCGGAAGCGTTGGTCTTGGTCGAACGCGAAGTTTTGCCTGTTGTAGCGGAAGATCTCGCCTGCAACCAGGCCGACCCCAAGGAAGGCCTGCCAATTTGGTGGGCATTGCAACAAAGACTCCTGCGCAAAACGTAAGCTTGCAGGAGATAGCCTCCATAGATATTCAACGAAGGGCGCTGTCTAGCCCTTCTTGGGCTACGCTGCCCTTCCAAGGCACTCATGCCAATTCGTGCAAGGCTTCCATGGCCAGCGGCAAGATGTTCTACGCAGCGACAAGACGCTCAGCTGGAACGGGTCATTGCTCAAGATTGCGCAGGAGTCGCCCAAGCTTTTGGGCAGCGCTCTAGTCTAGCTATCTTACCCATAGCTATTTCATGCTACTTCTCTTCTAATGAAGTTGGACTTCTGTTTGGAACCAGAAGCGGCTCAGTGGTGTATCTGGAGGCTCATGCCGGGGTATTGCCTCCAGCAATTGCGCACCGTTCCACCAGACTGAGAGTTGCATCTCCATTTACCCCAGACAACTCTCTTCCATTGCGCAGGGCTGGAAAAACTCACTTTGGAGTTGGACTCTTTTTTGTACACAAACCCTGGCGAGTGGTCTAGGAATCTCGCCCACCCGGCTCCAAGCGCTCGGAGTGGAGATGGGCACAGTGGCTCAGTCACGATGCACCAACAGGATGGGCCAGCTGAGCTTCTGTGGCCACACGCTGCGGTTGACATGCAACCTAAGCCACAGACGCAGCGAATCGCAGCGAGGTAACAGCCGAATGGCATGCAAGACCAGGCATTAGACCAAAACGATCAGACCCTTGACAACATGATCTTGTACAAAGTGGCACCAGTCCTGCACTTGTATCTCAGTCTGATCGGGAAAGAACAAAAAGTTCATGACATTTCATCACATATACTTCCACATGTCGACTGCCTCGCAGGCACTTTCACAGGCTGTCGGATGAACAGTTGGGGGTCACGGGCTGAAGATCTGACTGGGAATCGTCGCTGCTAGCGCTGCATACCACAGCATGCACGTCTTCCGAGGTCAACGCGAACTCGCATATCTGTCGGGCAACATCATCCTGCTGAGACAACTACCTACACAGAAGCATGCCGGTCAGTCATGGCAGCGGACCTCCAGCATGGCTAATGGGCGCTGGCCTAGCACTGCGCTGTGTGCAGAGGTACTGACAGTGCTTGGGACCGTTGCCTTTAGACCGAGCCCGCTTGACAATGGCCAGGCGCAGCCTTACAGAATAGGCTTGATGGGATTAGCACGACGCCTGCGGCCATACCTGCCAAAATACCTGTTCAATTTCCAGTGGAGTGCTTGAACACAAGTTCGAGCTGACTCTGGTGTGACCTCCACAGCAGAGCATGCGACGTGTGACCATCAAGATTCTCCTCAGTTGCTAAGCCCAGGACTTCCACGTCCTTTGCAAGCAAGAAGCAGTACAGAAAACACAGATGTCACATTCTGTGCCTTCGGCAGTGCCCGGAGCTCGACCTGTGCACAACCCCACCGCCAGTCAGCCAAAAATAAAACGGTACTGGGCACGTGACATTGGAACCATTTGCCAGCAAAATCACTGCTTTTGGCATTGTTGGCCTGACCTCGCGTCACTCAGGACGCCAGCCACGAGAGGCAAATGAGATGAGAACCACGCTGGGTCTTCGGCAGCATTTTCAGCCCTACTGCCAGAGGAGCCTTACACGCAGCCATGGTTTTAGTAATTTGGCGCAGGTGTCAGTGCTTTAACGTTCGCGGTATGTACTCTCCAGGACTATCTGATGTGAAAAACAGTGCAGGAAGCAGAAATCGGTTCAGAGTACGAGCGCTTATCAAAGCTGACAAGGCACGTCTACTTGACACTTCCACCTCCATCCGAACAGTCGGCATCAATGCTGGCATTCCGCACACGCGAGCCAATCGCGCTTCACTCAGCAGCTGGGTCCACATGTCCTTGCACACCCTACCAGTAGGAACATTGACGTGAAAAAGGAATAGGCATACACCTCAAAGCAAGAATCCACTCCTTTGTCATGTGGGGAGGGCTGGCCAGCAAGAGGGGCGCCGTCTGCCCTCACCAAGTGGTCTCGCTGACCGCACGCAATGCTGCAAGGATTGCGTCCACTTCAGTCGAGGTACTACTGGGAACCTCGCTATCCCCTCGGTTCATACTTTTGAGAGCGAGAACGGCATCTGCGTCATTTGAGACACTCGAGCGCAGGTCCTCCAAGACCTCGCAAAAACACTATAGAGATGCAGAAAAACAACTCGATCCCGTGCCTCTTGAAGGGGCCAGCCATGAAGTACCGGCGGAAAGCATTGCACAGCCTCAACATGTCAGCATAATGGCATAGGCCACATTCACGTGGCAGCTCGGCCCACCTGGTCCAGAAAGGCTGCCCCGGAGAAGCGTGGATGTGCTAGTTCAGGCAACCCTGCTGTCCAGGCGTCCCGCAGATGCCTGCAAATCGGTGGCAAGCGGAGACGACACTTGAGCACTGGGTTTGAGGAAGTCTTGCGTGCAGACACCGCGCTTCTGCCCATCACCAGCAAGGAATGCCAGAATCCATGCACGGTCAGGCCAGTTGCGGCCACATAGCACCTGCACTACTAAGCCAGGAGGTTGACATGTTTCAAGTGCCATCGCTTTGCAGAAAAATGGTGCCTCAGACTGGCCAATGCTAAAGCGGCGGACTTGCGCCTTTGAGAACTGATCTCTCTCCTCAGCTTGCTAGTCAGCTAGTCTGCTGGTGGGTCGGCCACAGTATGCCACAATAAAAAGGAAAATTGTCGTTGATCTGTCAAGCATCTGCCGTCCATCCACGCTGCATCAAGCCGCTCACCAATGCTTGCGCCTCCTTGGAATGCGCAGCTGCAGGAATCCAGCCGAGAGAAACGGCCGAGACTGCGGCGGTGTGATGGAGCGGAGCCTCTCGCAAGGTGCTCTGAAGTCGAGCTTTGGCACTTGATGATAAGGATTGCACTCACCTTCTTGTCATCCAGTCTGAAAATCTGCGCGTAGTGCAGACCGTTCGTGTCTGGCTCCACCCAAGCACAAGACACCTGACCAAGCAAAAAGTCCCGACTTCATGAAGGCCTGCTGCTACCGTAGCGATTGACAGGCGTTGCACGACAACACGCCCAGTACAAATCTAGGAAGCGTACCAAAGAAAAACAGAGAAAGACAGAAAGAAAGAGCAAGCGAGAGAGATAGAGAGCGAGAGACGGGGAGCCGTTGATTCTTAGATGTACACTTCCGCTGGGAAACCCTTTTGCACTGCTGCCATGAGAGCGAGCCCACAGCATTGGCGGACCCCAACGAAGCATAACAGTTCATGTCCATTTACCAGGACCCTATGGGACCCTGCTGGTTTTGGGCAACTCCGGCGCAAAGCTATTTCCATTCAATTTCAGAGATGCTTGCGTAGGATGATAATACAAAAGGCCTTGTATGGGACTGAATCTTTTCTGCAGAAATCAGGCTAACACTGCTTATGGCGGCCATACAAAAACAATTCAGATTGAGTTTCAGCATGCCTCGGATTCGCATGACTCCCAATGTGCAGCCGACCGGTGCGCAGATCGGATGACACGTTTCAGAGAAGTGTACCAAGCTGAGATTCATGGTGATGCCGCAGTCTCAGCCATAAACTATACCATCCGAAAGGATGGAGCTGGCAGCGAAATGCTCGGAGTGCGGGTGTTTTGGGATCTAGGGGTTCGGATTTGTGGGGATGGAGAATGATGAATCCACGTAAAACATCCAACAGCATCTCATCAACAGCATGAACACCGGCAGGAACAGAATATGAGCCCACCTGGCTCCCTGCCAAACATCACATCGGCTGCAGCAGCTCACTCGCCAGCATTCCCAGCTACAGCAGACCATACATCAAAGCACCGGGAGCCATGAAACTCTTGCACGCCTGCGGACACTGATGTTTTCTGAAATGGCATTACTCTCAGCTTTGCTGCTGCGTCTTTCGCAGTAAAAGATCAAGTTAGCGCAGCCAAGAGCACCCGGAAAATGCATTTGGCTCGCGAAGTTGCTGAAATGGTTACCCGGAGGATGGACCGCGTACGTGTGGCATTGGAACACCTTGTCACACAGGGAGTCCAGAAGGAGTCGCTAGGAAAAGCGAAGTCTGCAGCCCCTGAACACGAAATGGGCAGCCCCAGGACACAAAATGGGATCAGCTAAGTTTGACACGAGAATGAACGTGTTGGCCGATGAGCCGACAATGGTAAGACAATGTAAGACACGTCTTGTGTTGCCCTGGAAGGTGTTGCCACTGATAGTTCGCAGACTGCAGCTTCGAGTTACTTGAGAGCCATGGGCAGGGACAAAAGCCCAATAATGGACAGGAATGGCGAGGCAGGACGTGAAGAGACAGACCATATACAACCAGAAGAGCACGCCGAGCACGCAGCCTGGCCCTGACTGCCCATTCAAAGAACTGCAACCCCTCCTACCGAAACCCTCCTTTAAAAAAACTCCAAGATCCCCAGATCCACCCAAGATCCCCCCAAGATCCACCCACAATCCCCACCCCCAACATCTACCCAAGACCCCTCCCAAATCCCCCCAAGATAACCCTCAAGAATCTAGCAATGCCGGAAAATCCAGCCTGTGGCGCAGGGCAGCTGAAAAAACCAGACAGAATGGGCCTCCCCCCGCCCCACACACCCCCCTCAGGATCCTCAGGCTCACTTCGTGAGGTACTAAACAAAGATTAGCAGATGGTGGCTTAGCTGGAGGAAGCACAACAAGAGTGCAACAGAACGAGGGTTTTGGAGACCACGTCCATCAGGCCGAAGATCTCACACGTCACGCAAAACATGTGCGTCAGAGTGTGGATGGTTTATGTGGCAAAGTCTTGCAGGATCAAGAGGCCATCATGACGCAGCAGAAAGCCAACACTGGAGAATCTCCCCGAGATGTTGCAACGTTCAGATTGGTGGATCCACAAAACTACCTGAGACGTGTCCAGGCTAGTATTGCATTTTGACACCTGAGCTTGGACCAGGGCAATCGCAGGATCAACATACGCCAGCAGAGCAAAAAACTGCAGTGGATCAAGTATCTTCAGAGCATGCGCAAGATGATTGTGGCATCAAGACACACAGACTTAAGCAGGTCTTGTGGGAGCAGGAAACGCCAGGCTTGTTTCCGGATCTGCTGCAGAATCTCCCCCCACCTTTGTCTTTGGAAATGTGAAGTCAACAGAGGGCTGACCGAGGCCTGCAAGCTTCTCAATGACGTTCCCAAGTTGGGTCACTTCAGGGGGAGGCTTGGGAAGTGATTAATCATGATGATAACGACTTTTGCAAGACAGTCCGGGAGGATATACATCAGTGGATGGAGGAGTGTTTGCAGAGGCCGAGCAAAGGCATAAAATAAAAGTGCAGAGCGAGCATAAGTACCTGACTAGACGTGCGAAATCCAGAGTCGTCCAACAATAGCACTGATGAGGTCCGGGCCGCAGGATTTGCAAGCTCCAGTGTTGGAAGGCGCCAACACGACGGATACATCTCCCATTGTCTCCCATGACTTGTGGGAAAGTCTCCTTGAAGTTCATCGTCCTGGGGCTGAGGACGAAGTTAAGGCCCTTTCGTCCTACATTTGTGGCTTGGCTGCAATCAACACGGCCAAAGATGGTTTGCAAGTCTAGAGATGCTGGAAACTGGCAAGAAGTAGACTTGGCCAACTCAACATCCCATCTGTGGCGCAAAGCGAAGAGGCCAGAGCTTTGGGAGCATGGATCAAATCGCTGGAGAGGAAGTACGCCAATTTGCAAACCCATATGAGCGAGCGCCAAAACTCCTTGTATAATCTGATGCCATGGATGATTTGGGGGGGTCCTATCGCTTTTGGGTGTTTTTGCGACTTCAAATCTGAGGTATCGCTTTACAGGCTCGACCAACTGAACCTACATTAAAATCACCTCAAACCTTGCGCTCATGATTCGGTGGTATCGCTTTTGGGGGGGTCCTATCGCTTTTGGTGGTTTTGGCACAATTTATGAATCCTACGGCATTCCCTTTTATGGTCCCCTATATGCGAGTATTGGGAATTGCTCATATGTCTCTGCTACATTTGCAGGGCAATTTGCAGCGACAAACTGCAGGGGGTGCCTAGGTTATACAAATGCTATCAAGCATGGCCTGTTTTTATGAGCTGCCTTTGGTGTTGCTGGATTCCAGGCATGACGAAGTAGTTCATTCCATCACTGGCACTGTGAACTTCAGGTTGCAAACGGTGATCAAGTGAGTGCATGGCGAACCAACGATGGCAAAGTTGCAGTGCTTTCTGGAGCAAGTCAATGGATTTTGCAAGTGAAGAGTCTGTTCAAGGTTGGTGGTGCTGTCAGTTGGACAGGCGGCGGCACGGTTTAAGGTTACCATCAGCAAACATCTACCGTATATGGACTGGGAAGACTTCAAACTTGTACCGAGCGTATGGCCGCATGGTGATGAGTCGTTCGACTGCGACTTTCATTGCTCATGGATAGGGTTGGTTGAAAGTGTGTTCCATTTTGCACAGCGAGTTCACAGCAAAGAACACGTGTGAGGCAAGCGCTGAGGACGGCTTTACAAAACCGTGGCAACCCCATACTCACATCAAAACAACGAGGTTCACGTCGGGAGTCGGTCTTCTGAAGGCAGAAGGTACCATACAGCTCTGGCACGCAAATATGGGTGTGGCATGGTGGCCAGAAGCACTAGAGGAAGCTGCGTTATTGCGCAGTCAGTGAATGCTGTCCAAAGATTCCTGAAAACAATCCACAGATGGGTGACGCAGTTTCCATTCAACGGGAGATGGGCAAAAAAAAGCTGAGATCGGTGTTTTTTCGCCAGGATTCTTGAACCTTGGGTGGAGCCAAGGTACTTCTGCTATGTACTGGAGTGTTCCGGGTTTCAGCGACGTCGACTATCCATTCCTTTTGGATCAACCACGAGACTCAAATGTTGGAGCCAAATGGGAATCGGGACATAAGAATATGGGTCTCAACTCATTTCTGGACATGTACTATGCGAGCCACCACAGGCAGGAGATAAGCTGACCCTTGAGGAAGTGACAGGAAATTGTGACGCAAAAAGAGTAGTATCAGTTTTTTGGACAACACTACTTGACTCTGTTCAATGCTTCACTGTGTTTTAAATTATGTGGCAGGAGCTACTAGCAGTTTGTTTAATGCCTGGAAAGCAAAGGAGTCTTTCGTAGTGACCACGGGAACGAGGCAGCTCCAGCACAAATCCTAGCCCTAACCAACGTACCAGGCATGCATAAAATCTCCAGACTCGTCAGGGCCCGTGTATCCGGCTTAAACGAAGAATATGTGATTCTGATAAACTATGATAATGTGACATCGAGAGAATCAGCAAACCAGGAATGAAGAGAACCTCATCGTTGAAGTGTCAAACAAAACAAGAGCATAGGGACTGAAGGAAACCAAGAGCCTTGAGACGACCGAGTCAATTGAGACCTTTAGTCATACTGGCGAAGCAGTGTGCAAAGAGACGAAAAAAGGCAAACTGTCTCAGAGGTCAAGGGTGTGGGTATAGAATGTCAATAGGTGGAAGAGGTTCGGGCGCACCGACGAAACGAGTCTCACGAACAAACGTGAGTGATGAAGGTACGACAGGCATTCAAAAATCTGACGTCAGAGTACCACACAAGAGACTTAAGCTACCCTGCACCAAGTCCCAGCCTTTAGCCACAGCAAAGCGCCCCCCAAGAGCTGTCAGAGCAAGCAGTCCAAAGCTCAGGAAGTCATGCTGGGAGAATCCAGAGGTACTAAGAAAGCTAGGAAATTGAAGGTAGCACAACACCATTAGGCATCACTCAGGAAGATCCTCATCGGCGGGCCATTCATGTCCACGATCTTTTCAGAATCGGATCACAGCAACCAGTAACCAGTGGAAAATGCATGCGTTGTATATGACAGTATGCAAGGGCAGTGGCTCGATGCGAATCCATGCTCAAAAGCACAACCCCGACCCCACCGCGACCAACTGCTCCGCATAACCTTGCACGCCGTAGCTGCTGCCACGTGCCTTCCAGCTCTTCAAACATAAGTGACTTCGGATAACTTCCGACAGCCCAGCGGCCTGATTCCACAAACCCGTCAGCTTCACCACAAAGCCAACATCACCCGGCACACAGCGATAGTCCTGGCAAAACCTGCTTCCCTACAAAGCAAGGTTGCGCTCTGTTGAAGACGTCCTCAAAGTTGGGCATGAACAGGAAGCGCGGATCCGACGCCATGCGATTGCACATCAGCAGGTAACGCGGCTCGAACAAATTAAGACCTGCAAGGCAAAACAAAGTCTAGCATGCAGTGCCTTTCACACGCACTGCACATGTTCAAATCAGAAATCCTTGGATGTAACTGTCCCGCTTACACAGGTACGTGCTTGTTCAGCGAAGCTCTCGTTGCAATTGAGCTTACTCGGACCAGGTGACCTATGGTGTCGCCAACATTGGTCAACAGCAGGTCGTTGAAGTAAAACACTGGTAAAACGTCCGGCTCCATGGCTCAGGATCTTATGTCAACTCTAGACTCTAGACGGGATGGCAAAGCTGAGATGCTGAAGGGCAGGAGAGTTAGAAATGCCATATGCGCATTGCTTCACAAACATATCAGGCGGGCACATCCATTAAACCCGTGCCGCAGCACTTGGTGGGCCACTCGACGCGCACTATCTTTGCATGCTTGAAAGAGGATTGTGACGCAGATATACGCAGATGCAGCGAATGACGAAATGTATCGAAATGGATTCTTTGCAGTTGCACCGTGAAAATTGTCAAGTGTAAACACCCCTTTTTCCTTGTCCTGAAGTCTTGAACCTTGCACGGAAAGAGTGCGCACACTGACAGGTATTTGCAACACCTGGATGATTGTTCAGTTAATCTTCAAGGCCCCTTTGACAGCCCGCTCCTGATCCTGTTTGCCTGGCGCACAATAGGCCTCCTTCTTCTGCACTGGCAATGAGAACATTTTGCTCCTTGCAGCGTCAATTCGGAATTGAAACCCAGTTGCCGTAGCTGTCCAAAACGTTCTTGTGACCTGACTGCTCCGAAAGAGTGATTACATGCATCATTTTCGCGGCGGTGTGCTGATTCGCAAGCCGGAGAGGTAACTAGGCATAAGGTACAGGACCGTCAGAGGGCCATGGTTCAACCTTGTGTTTTTCTGCAACTACCTGAACCTACGTTTGAAATGAGCAAACCCGTCCACGCACCAAATCGTAGATCATACTCATACTGCTCAAGCACACCCTGAAGATTTTGATCATCTGCACAAAGCAACTTGCAGTGATATGCCGAGCTGCGAATGGATCTCGAAAATGATCCTGGCGCAAACGCATGGGAAGGTCCATGCAGCGCAAAGTTGACTGGCTCTTGCCAAACCTCAAACATATCATTATAGAAACAAGCAATCAAATTGCATCCAGCAAGCAACTGGTCATCAGACACCCGCCTCCACCCAAGCCATGCGAATAGCACCTTGCTGAAGCTTCAGTTCAGGGTGCCAGCTGTAAATGTCAGCCATGGTGGTGAGCTGTTTTGTGCTTCGATGGCGCCACTTGTGTTCCATCAGCTCGTCCGGCAGGATTCGCTGGCCCTTGCACATGATTGAAACATGCTTCCACGAAAAACAGCCCCGCTTCCGAGGGCCAAGCAGGATGAGGCATCAGCATCCACTCAAGCATGTCCTTCGCAGACCAGCTGGTAAACCACCCAACCTTGGCCACCATTCAATCACCCATTTTCAGGAACATCGCTGGAGTGTTGAGGTCCAGGCATCAAACAAGCCACTGTGATGGTCGCGAACTCCTTACACCCATCACATGTGCTGCAGCACAAGGGCACAAGGGCACTGCTCATGCTGCGTGTGCCTCTAGTGATGGTTACAGCATGGGTGAAAGCGCGTCTACAACAGATGCTCACAGAGTGCCCTGCTCAAGGTACCACCTTCCTTCATAAAGGGATGAGCACCTGTTGGGATGAAGGTTGCTGTCTACGTTTTCAACTTCATACCCACTCTAGACAGTTTCGTCTTTAGGTTGGCGGTTCAAGGCTTCAAGGTCATGGATTCCCTCGATCTTATCTTGCGCCACTCTGCTCATCACTTGGCAGACGTCCTAGCTTCTAACTGAACACACATGTGGTAGCCACGTGCAGCTACCCGCGCGCGCTATCAGGCCAGTTGCACAACAGACCCCAGAGCCTTTGCACAACATCATGTAGACGCAGATCCCAAAAGCCCAGATGTCGGCTGGAAATGAATAGCCTCGGCCTGCACAGTGCTTTGCACGTAGAGCTAGGATGAGTCGCTTTTCAAAGTATCGGTGGTCTGTGTGGGTTTTGCGCTCTTCTGCTTGGAGCTCTTGGTCACGGATGTTTGAACACCTGCAGTCTGGATTTGAAGTCCCTCTGCATCGATGCCTCGTGGTAGCTGGTGTATTTCCGGCGGGAAGAAAACCGGAGTACCCTTGACGTCCGTGATTTCCTTCCAGGTCAGACTGAAAATGTGCCCTGCTGCCGGGCCAATACCTTCACCTGACTGTCCATGGAATGACACAGACCTTGCTCAAGTTCCGCTGCATCCATCCCACAGCCTTTTGCCTACACTGCTGGCCTGCAGGGGATCGTGAGCGAGGCATGCACAACCAAAGTCGGTCAGCTTGACTACCTCTGCACTCAATTCAGCTCAGTGTTTGGCCCCGTTGCCTTTCTTGGGAGCTGAAGGCTTGCTACTCACTTCTAGAGTTCGATGTGTCTAGATCATGCTCAATGCTACATCCCAATGAGCACAAAACTGTCGATGTTCATGCGCAATACTTTTTAGGGAGGCCTGGGAGCGACGGAACTGCAAACTTGATATCTTGGCCACACTGCTCGGCTTGCTGGCCTCATCCTCAGCAAAGACGAGGTTTGAGGGCCTGCAGCTTTCAAATACAGATTCGGGGTATGAGACTGAGGCTGAACCCCACGATCTTACCTATGTTTCGCTCTGTTTCAGCTGGGAGCAAGGCTTGACGTCCCGATGAAGGATGGACAGGTTCCGTAGGAAGTCCAGAGCCTTTGCTCGGAACTCTGAACTCAGCCGCAAAAAATCTAGCATCAATTGTCTGCACTCCAAAAAAAAGACTGCCGAAGATGTCATCCTAATCCACTCCACCGAAATTGCATACTGCCGTCATGCGCAGGACTCGGCATCAGCCTGAAGACGGGCCACCCCGGCAATTTGATGAACAATCTTCGCCACGAGTCTCTCTCCGCCTGACATTCGGGCTAACGCGGTGTTTGTAGCTAGCCAGAATTCTTGATTCTAGTAGCCAGTCTGTCTAGACGTTTCAGCTGCAGCTATCAGCGAGGTGCCAGAGAGGTGGGGTGCAAACCTCAATGCTAAATGAAGTCTCCACAAGTCGCGTCATCACTGCTAATTCTACGTACTAGCAGGTTGGGGCTTTATGACTGGCATTCTCTCGCTGTGTCATAAATCCAGCAAGCCCTAACGGCCGCACGCTTTTCTTGAGGGAGCTGCCTTCTTGAAAGCGCTTGGACAAGATGGCGTTGCTCAAATTGCCCTTGGAGCAGTACCTTGGCGGACGAAGTCAGCCGGAGTATGCTCGAAGAGGCTGCTTTCCACGGGTTCAGACTTCGGCGGCCAGCTTGTACGATTACACAGCATTGCTATAGCGCGGATCTAGGTTAAGCTCCTGCTTAGGCCTTGAGTTGGGTGGACATGTCTGATACAAGTTGGCAGAAGTTGAGGGTTGGGCTTTCGGACGAAGGATCGCATCTGAGTGATCCTACATTAGGATCTCCACGCACGGATCAAAATTACTCGCATGCTGGGCTAGACTGCAGGTTCGAAAACCTATGGGCCAGCTCCAGCCACATAAAATCCCATTCACCCAAGCAGACAGAAGCCCCGCAGGCTATTGCAGCTTGCAGGCAAAATCCAGTGAAGGCGAACTACAGGAATCTGAAAGGATTTGGCAGGAGCATGCCTGCTATCTCAGGTGACATGTTGGCGGGTGTGCGAATTGATGAACTTTTCCCCTATGGATCTGACTTAGGTGTTGCTAGGGTAAAAGAAGGGTCTGGAATCATGAGAAATCAGGGATCTTGTTACTTTTTTGCTCTTGTGGATAAAGCACTTCTAAAGGCGTTTTTGTTGCAGAATCTGGCAGGGAACTTTAGTTCAATTGCGGAGGGCTTCATCTCCTAGGTTCTTCTTTAAGTTGTCTAGAAAAGTCCACTAAGAATCCCATCGACATGCAACCCGTATCTGAGTCTTTCAGATTCATTACAGTCTTAGCATTTGGGGATGGAGGGGCGGAGAAGCAATTTACAAGTTGGCAGCGATTGACCCACAATCGGGCCCGGACTCCAGGACCAAGTGGATCACACTTATCTCCTCTCAAAACCCAGCATCCGCACCGACTGCGCAGGAAATAGCTCCGCAAATGCATTTTCACAACAGAGTGCTTAAGCCCTGTCCTCGAAACATTCATAATACTCGACAATGTTTGGGTGCTTCCCGGAGACCATCTGAGAGGCGTCGAGCACGTATGCATCACTTGCTGTGCAGGTTCAGAACACAAAGTCAATCCAGCAATTCTCACGCAGTGCCTCGGTTCTTTGACAGATCTTACAGTTCGCATGTCTAGAGATCACCCATCTCAGAATTTGGCCTCTAGCAGCTGGATTTCTTGTATGACCTCACAGCAGTTGTGCACATGATCACTGATAGCTTATTGTTAAATTGCATTGCCAAGGGCATCAATGCTAGCGCAGAGACAGCACCATGCTAGTGCCAAAAGGGATTAACTGCTTGATCCTTGTTGGGGGGCGCGCCTCATAGCGCAAGGACTAAAAATGACTCAATCTAAGGTTCGTTCTGTTCTACGAGCCCGTTTGGCCACTGCCCAGACACACGGCATGTCCTGAACTGCAGCGGTGCAGGACTTGCTTTCGTGTCCGGTATATGAGGTCCAGACAGCAGGCCGTGTCCACCAGCTCTCCTTGACAATGCTCTTCACCTTAGGAACCCCGACTTGTCTTCCGTGTCTTTGCATTGATGCTGGGTATCCGCACGCATCGATCGGTGTGGGTGCTCAACTCCACACACCTCAGGTGCTGTGTGAATGACGGTAAGGGTAGCTGGAACTCATTAAGCTTGTAGTGTTGGAGGTCTGAACAAGAACCTTTTCCCGGAATCCTTGGGCCTGAGTCTTTTACCTAAAATGAATCCATGCTACATGCAACTACACGCCTTTCGCTCCATGCTACCAGTAAGCGAAACATGGATAAAGGAACAAACAGGATGCACCTCGAGTTTCATTTGGGGAGCGTGCGGACGTACCTGACCAAAAGCTCCGGAGCCAACGCAGTCGCCCTGCAGAATCTGCTCACAGATACGAGTACCGGATAGCGCAGAATTGCGGCGCGAGCATACAACCACCTGAGTAGACTGGCTGAGATTGGATGGTACTTAGTGACTCAAATGACTTCCTGTTT